GGCCTCTGCTGATGGTGCATGGATCCCCTCACCTCTGTTGCGGGATGGGCTTCCGGAAGCTGCTTGCCACAAGTTAGGCCCAATCACATCCCCCGCACACTGCCCCCAGGTGCAGCCCTCATCTAATTACTTGGTGATGTAGGGACAGGGTACAAAGGTCCAGCTGCCTTTCCCCAAATGAGGAACAACCCTGGAAGACCCTGTGACCTCCACAGCAGGGACCCCCCCAACACGCACACTGCCGTGGTCTCTGAAGTCACTGCAGCTCACACTGCCCTCTACCCAGAAATCCTCCCTCACCCCGGAGAAGTGTTCCCAAGATCACTTCCCAGTCAACCTCCTGCATACCAGTCTCCGCCTCAGAGGCTGCGCCCCGGGGAAGCCAGCCTGCAGTCTTGTGCGTTTTTAGAACTGAGTTTATCCTGTTTTGACTTGGCTGCCTTTGAACAGTGGCTCATGTGATGGGGCTGCGAAACCGAACAAGGTGTCTGAGGCAGGTGGAGGTGAATATGCGTTATTAGCCTTACTAGGGAGTGCCCTCATGTTCAGGTTTCTTGCCAGCTTCCCAGTCATAGATCTGAACTTGGGACAGTTCAGTTTTTGAGTAAATACTTTTTATTCTTTCAGTTTTTAATTGTTTAAAGAAACACATAATTTGGTTTCTGAAATGGAGTGTTTTTGTCTCTAATGATCAAACCGTCTAGGTTGGGCTGGCTCTGTGCCCTGGTGGTTGAGGTAGGCAGATTGCATATGGTCAACCATGCGGTCTGAATCTCAGTCCTACTTGCTTGAAAAACACACCAGGCAGGTGCATGTGTGCCTGTGAGCCCCGAATCCCAACAGGATGAAGAAATGGAGGAGAAAGGATTATGGTATGGCCATGTCCCCTTTCTCTGTCTCTCTTGGGTAAGTGCATGCACCCTGTGGCACATTAAAAAAAAAAACATGTATCCCTTCCCCCTGGCCTAGAAATATTGCTGTTCAGGCTGTCAAGGTTGTGTAAAAAGAAGCAGGCCTGCCTTTTACGGGCCGGTTGGTCTAATTGCTTTGGGAGCCTTGGTCATAGCCCTGTACCTATTTTTAAACTCTTCTATTTTCTAAGATACTATTTATTCCTCTTGCAGTTAATGCTTGTTTATTTAAGGACCTCTCTGTTGTCATTGTCACTTTTGGTTCCAGTTCAGTGGATCATGGATGTATTGGATGTTCTTGAACTGTGGTTCTAGTATGAGCTCCTAATTTATTGTTACTGTTCGGATGGGCTATGACATTTTATTTTTCCTGTTTAATTTCAAAGCTCTTTGTTTTCAAATTCATTTCCTCAGAAGAATTACCTTGTACATGCCCACTGTGTACCTCGGACAGAGGGAGTTGTGTTAGTACGACAGAAGGGATCCAGCTTGCCAAAGAGCTGGGAGCGACTTATCTCGAGCTGCACAGTCTCGATGACTTCTACATAGGGAAGTACTTCGGAGGTGTGGTAAGTGGAAATTCCTGCTATATACAGTCATTTGTCAGGCTGACTGCTTAGCTGGATTTTTCTAGAACTTCAATGAGAACGTTCATTTTAAAAGCATTTGTAGTCTTAACCTTGAGAAATGCCGTAAGATTAAATAGCAAAGATTTTATCCAGCTGCATTTATAATTTTGCTTTTCTCTCCAAATGCAACATTTTCTGTTGTCTCATGTAATATAATATTTTGGAAGCTTTTGTTTGGTGAAAAGTTATTGGTCTTTGCCGTACATATCAAACACATCTATTTAATGCAAACCCGTGATGTCAATTTTTATAGTGATCTTTATGCAGCTGAATGAGCCTGGCAGCCTGAATCAGTGGGCCCTCAGGGTTCTCTTTTATTTCTGTCTGCTGTCGTTTATCCTTGAACAACATGGGGGTTAGGGACAGTGACCTCCTGCACAGTTGAAAATCCACCTACAGAGACCAGCAGGTGGCATCGTGGTTGAGGTGCTGGACTCACTCATGGCTGACCGTGGTTTGAGTCCTGACCCTGGTGTCTTGCTTTCTCACTTACTCTCCCTCTGTTTCTCTTTGGGTTTCTCTGGTGAGCGCACAAGCCCTGTAGCGAACTAAAAAATAATAATGATAAATGAAATTAAATAATTAAAAAAAAAGATAATCTGCATATAACTTTTGACTGCCTCAAAACTTAAGTACTAATAATCCATGGTTGAGTAGAAGCCTTACCAATAACATAACAGTTGATTAATGCATTTTTTATGTTAAATGTGTTAAACACTGTCTTCTTTTCTTTTTTAATTTGTCAGAGGTGGCCTATATTCACTGGAGAGAGACAGAGAGATGGGGAGAATGAGAAAGTACCCCCATGAGGAATGGCCACACCACAGTCCCTTCTCTTCTATCTCTCTGTCCCTTGGGGACTCTGGGCACAAATATACACACACCCAGCATGTTTCCCAAGCCACCAGGTCTGGGACTTGAACCACACAGTCAGCTATGTGGGATCCAGCTGCCTTAACCACCATGCCACAGGCTGGCCCAAACATTGTATTCTTAGAATAAAGTAAGCTGTGGGACCAGCAGTTGGTGTAATGGCTATGTTGCTGGACTCCCATGTAGTCGACTGCGGTTCAAGTCCTGGACCCGCTGGCTTAAACTCAAGCCAGGCGCATGTGCGTGCATGCCCAAGATCCCGAGAGGAGAATGGAGGAGAAGGGATTGCAGCGTGACCGTTCTCCTTTAGGGGTGATTTCTCACTTTCTGCCTCTCTGTCTCTCTCTGTCCTTCTGGCGAGTACACACACCCTATAACAAAAACCTCTCAAAAGAAAAAGAAAAAAAAAAGAATAAAGTAATTTGAAAAAGAAAAGAGAAGAAAGAAAGGAAGGAAGGAAACGAAAAGAAGAAGGAAGGAAGGAGGAAAGGAAGGAGAGGAGGGGAGAAAGAAAAGAAAGAAAGAAAATGTTAGAAGGAAAATCATAAAGAAGAGACATAATTTATTGAAAAATGTGTTTACGCGGACCTGTGCAATTCAAACCTGTGGTGTCCGAGGGTCAACTGTAGTTAGAAGAATGATTTTCTTCCTATAGGTGTAATTCAGCAGGCTTTCACATCATCTTGGTTCTGTTGTAGTTCAAACCTCTTCAAGGAACCACGTGCACAGAGAGCTGCCTGGCGGACATGTGTGGACTCGGGCTGCTTGCTCCATTACAGTCGCATGTATTAAGCACTGCAGTCCTTGCCAGACTCATCTTTTAAAAACATATTTGTTCTTTGTGCATGGTGGAGTGTGTGCACAAGAGAGGAGAGGTGAGGAAGGGAGGGAGGAACACCCTCCACAGGTCTGGGTATGCCGTGCTCGCCTTCCTGCAGTGCCCCCGTCTATCGGATCTTGGGCACGTGCATGCATTCCTGGTGTGTCGGGACAGAGATTCAAACCCGTCACTGTGTGGGATCCGGCTTCTCTTGAGCAGCCAGTTACCACTGTACCATGGAGCCAGCCCTGAGGCTCATTTTAACACACAACACCTCCGTCTAGGACTGTGATGTCCTTGGAGAATACTGTAGGGTTGTGTCGTTTAAGAACTTATGTATAGAACTTTGTTTCCAGCCCTCCAAAAGGATTCTACATAGGCCAACTTGATAAACATTGATGAGAGGTTAAAATCGAAGAACCCAGTGGATTTACACTAAGCAGCAGTAGTTTGAAATTCTCTGTCAGTTCCCCAGCTCTTCACTGAGTAGTCTTATCAATATGCCAGAATATTCATGACGGAAGTTCAGGTTGAAATGCTGAGGTGTCTGCAGATGATTATAGATATTTTATTTGTTCTCGAGTTAAGTGAACTAGGTAAAATAAGAACCAAATACAAAAAGTACTAATTCTATCAAATATGGATGACTTTTTGTTTTCACCCAGTAACATAAAGAAACAATAATACAGCATTAAGTAAGCTATACTCACTAATATTATCAATGACTGTAAGAAACCTTTGTCATACTTATTTTCAAAATAATTATTTATTTTATTTTATTTATTATTATTTAATTTGCTACAGGCATACATGGTAACCAGAGAAAGACAGAGAGAGAAAACAAGCCTGGGACTTGCAGGTCTGGGACTCGAACTGCACTCAGCCATGCAGGGAGTACAGTGCCTTAACCACCATGCCATCTGATGGCCCCTGTTATGTTTATTTATTTATTAATTTTTTAGAGAGATTTTTGCCATAAAATGCGTGTGTTCGTAGGAGAGACAGAGAGAGACAGAAAGGGAGAAATTGCCTCCCAGGGGGATGACCATAGTGCAATCCCTTCTCCTCAGTTCTCTTCTTGGAATTTGGGGCATACATGCACACTTGCCTGGTGTGAGTTTTAAGCCACCAGGTCTGGGACTCAAGCCGTGTCGACTATGTGGGAGGCCAGCAATGTAGCCATTGTGCCACCTGCTAGTCCCTTCTCTCTTATTTATTTACCCTGTGCATGGAAAGATAGGAGAAATCTAATTTACCTGTCAAGCAGATTATATTGTTGTGGCTTTTCTTTCTTTTATTCAAATTATTATTTATTTAATTTTATTTATTATTATTATTTTGTTTTAATTTGATCAGAGAGAGAGAGAGAAAACAAGCCATCAGGTCTGGGACTCAACTGTGGTCGGCCATTTAGAAGTGCCTTCACCACCAGAGCACCTGCCGGCCCTATGTTGTGGTTTAGAAAAGAAAAACACTTCATTTGGTCAGGAAGCATGCATTTCCCTGAAATACCCAGGACGTTGGGGAAAGAAAGATGCTTTGGTTTCCTTGATTGGATGGTGTCACTCATTGGATTTAGTTTCATTTGTTTGGAGAATGGTTCGGGAGCCTTAGGCCTCCTTGACCCTGTTCCAGGATCCCCACAGGGCACAAGTAGATGGAGCCACGGGGAGGTGCCCTGCTGCAGCTGGCACCCCCTTTCTAGAGTTGCACCACCCCGAATGGCAGCCTCTAGTCACATGTGGCTGTTTAAACCAATTCAAATAAAACAAGACAAAATTCCGGCCCTCAAGCACTCTAGCCACATTTCAGGTGCTCCGCAGTGACACGTGCCGGTGCTGCTGCGTTGCACGGTGCAGGCGTTACAGAGCAGTCCCAGCCTCACAGAAAGGTCTGATGGACAGGGCTGTGGCTGTGCACCATCACCCAGGACCCCCGAATACTTTTTTTTTTCCCTTCTTTTTTTGAGAGGTTTTTGCTATCGGGCATGTGCGCTCACCAGAAAGACAGAGAGAGACATAGAGACAGAAAGTGAGAAATCACCCACCGGGGGGATGGCCACGCCGCAATCTCTTCTCCATTCTCCTCTCGGGATCTTGGGCATGCAGGCACACGCACCGGGTGTGAGTTTAAGCCACCAGGTTCGGGACTCGAATCATGGTCGACTACATAGGAGTCCAGCAACATAGCCATTATGCTAATTGCTGGTCCTGAGACCCCCGAATTCTGTGGCCAGTGGTCCCGAGTCTACTTCAGGGGGCTGTGCAGGCAGGCCTCTCTCCTGGGCTCATTCTCCTGAAGGTGTTCTGCGTTGCTAGGGGAGGTCTGCTCCTCCAGGCTTAGGCTGGGGCAGGGGTCCTCTTAGAGTCCAGGAGTTAGGGGCCAGCTCTCCCTGTGTTACACAGATTTCTGAAGAGCCTGCAAATTTTAATCTAAATCTGGGCTGCATGCTTTGAGGATGATACTTTTGTCAAAGCAAGAGTATAGAATGTATATTATATTTTACTGGCTAAAAGAGGCATTCACCACAGAGAGAGAGAGAGAGATGGGGGGGCAGACAGCAGACAAAGTGAAAAAGAACCCCTGTGTGGGATGGTCACACTGCAATCCCTTCTTCCATTCCTCCTTTCTGGATTCTAGGTACACATCCACACACTCCTGGTATGTTTCTCAAGTTGTCAAGGTCCAGGACTCCAGTCATGCAGTCAGCCATGCGAGATCCAGCTTTCAGAACCACCACCCCACCGGTGCTGGAATATCTTATCTTTTTTAAATTTAATTTATTATTATTATTTTAATTTTTTATAGGGCATGTGTGCACACACGAGAGAGAGAGAGAGAGAGAGAAAGAGAGAGAGAGAGGGAGGGAGGGAGAGAGAATGAGAGAAAATAAATGAGAAAACAAGCTACTAGGTCTAGGATTTGAACTGTGGTTTACTGTGTGGGAGTCCAGTGCTTTAACTACCATGCCACCTGTTGGCCCCTCATGACCCTCTAGAATATCTTTTGTGTAACAGTTTGTTCCCTTGATTATCAATGTTTAAATATTTAGGTATGTGGTAGGTGTACCTACATTTGTGCCTTTTTTTAAAAAGTTTTTGCCATAAGTTATGTGGGGTTGCTAGAGAGAGACAGAGAGAGAGGGAAAGTGAGAAATCACCCTCCGGGGGTACAGCCATGACACAATCCCTTCCTTCTAGTCACCTCTCAGGATTGTGGGCACGTATGCAGACACGCCCAATGTGATTCTCAGCCAGGCCTGGTACTTGAACTGCTTTCGGCTATGTGGGAGTCCAGCACCTTAACCACCGCCACCTGCTGTCCCTTCCATTTGGTGCTTTATACCTGAGACTCAATGTAGGGCACAGGCCTGGGGCTATGTAAGTATGTGTGGATGAGATTTTTAATTTGTAAAGAAAAGGACTGATTTCAAAGAAATTTGCTTAAGAGAACAAAGGGATTTTCCTAGCTGATAGGAATATCTGAAGACCGAGCAAGATCTGTTTGTGCCGTGAATTTCACTGGTATTAACTGCAGTGGTTGCCTACTAGGAAAATTATTGACAGCCATGCAGCTGTAGTGCTTGGCTTGCTTGATTACTTGAGAGAATAAACAGTTCCTTTATAAATGGGTAGTCTGTTTATGCTTAGGCATGGCATAATCTTCACTAGACATTCTTTTTGCCTGTTTAATTTTAGATGTTTGCTACAGGTTGCATGCACTCACTGAAGAGAGACAGAGAGAGAGAGAGTAGGAATGTGAAAGATCATCCCCCAGGGGGCATAGCCATGCCACAGTCCCTTCTCCATTTTCCTCCTGGTATTTTGGGTACACATACTTGTGCGCCTTTTTGGTCTTTCAAGCCACCGTGTCCGGAACTCGAACTGCAGAATAGGCCATGTGGGATCCAGCACCTTAACGTCCATGCTACCTGCTGGCCCACTAGACATATTTTTTTAATTAAAAAAATGTTGTTTATTAGTGTTTGTTAATGTGTACATATATATGGTGCTGACATTAAAAACATTTGACATCAGGACCAGCAGGTGGTGTAGTGGTTAAGGTGTTGGACTCTCACATGGTTGACCTCATTCAAGTCCCGAACCCGGAAGCTTGAAACTCATGCTGGGCGTGAGTTGTGTGTGTGTGTGTGTGCATGTGTGCATACACGCGTGCCCCAAGTTCCGAGAGGATAATGGAGGAGAAACGATTGCAGAGTGGCCATTCCCCTTTGAGGGTGATTTCTCACTTTCCCTCTCTCTCTCTTTTCGGTGAGTGTATGCACACTATAGCGAAAAAAAAAAAAATGGTGACTGTGATTTGGAGTACAGATAATCACGTCAGATGTATAATGTTGTTGGACCTTTAGTTAAAATTTGATTCTCGTTGTAGTTGGAGTACTTTATGATTCAAGCCTTAAATCAGAAGACAAGTGAGAAGATGAAGAAAAGGAAAATGAGCAACTCCTTTCATGGAATTAGACCGCCTCAGCTTGAACAGCCAGGTGCGGTTACTCCCCACGTCCTGACATTCAGCAGTTATTTGTTGCCGATCATTCCTTACGGGCCTTGGAGCGGTTCTTCTCAAGTCTGAGCATGCTCAGGACCTACCTGACGTTCTGATTCAGTACACCTGGGCAAGGGTCCTGCGTCTGCTTTCAAAAACTTCCCAGATGAGACTGAAGTGGGTGGGACTGGGACCACATCTGCAAGTTGTCTTGAAGTCTAAACTATTGATTCTTAAAAATGGCGTGTGTGGGACCAGCAGGTGGTGTGGTGGTGGTTAAGGTGCTGGACACTCCCACATGGCCAACCATGGCTCGAGTCCTGGACCTAGAGGCTTGCTTTCTCACTTTCACTTTCTCTCTCTCCTCTCTCTCTCATCTCTCTCTGGTCAAGTTAAAGTAAATGAATGAATAAATTAAATAATTAATTTTTAAAAAATGGCATGTGTGATGCAGAACTGTTGTAGACCACGGTGTAATGTGAAATAGCTACCGTATGCAGGACAAGAACCCTGCTTGGATTCTGGGTCAATAAAAACATCTGAAAGATGTTCTTGGAACACTTGGGTAGAATTTAAAGTAGACTGGAAATGAGATGATATTGGAAATCTTACTAATTTTTAGTATGGTAATGATACAGTGAGTATAGCAGACTGTTACTATTTTTAGATGAATGTGAAAGTGTTTTGGAGCCAAAGTTTGCTAATGACTGCAGCTTATTTTTTTAAATGGCTCTGTGCATGTGCGTGTCTGTCTAGAGCTAAGGCAAAAATAATAGCAGGCTGCTGATTGCTGGATTTAAGGAGGATACATGTATGCTCATTGTATCATTCTTTTAAAAGTTCTTAATTCCAGGTTAGAGGAAACTGCAATAAAAATAAATACAGTTGCGGGAACCAGCAGTTAGCGTAATAGCTATGTCGCTGGACTCCCACGTAGTTGACTGCGGTTCGCGTCCCGGACCCAGTGGCATAAAACTCACGCTGGGCGCGTGTGCGTGTGTGCCCAAGATCCCGAGAGGAGAATGGAGGAGAAGGGATTGCAGCATGGCCATCCCCCCTGGGGGGTGATTTCTTGCTTTCTGTTTCTCTGTCTGGCAAGCTCACGCACCCTATAGTGAAAAATCTCTCCAAAAAATAAAATAAATAAATAAATAAATAAATACAGTTGCCTCAACTATTACCAGATTTTTTGTGTGTGTAATTTTGTGATAGGAATAGTAGGTTAGTAAGTACTCTATTGGACCAATTTACTTTGGATTTTTTGTTTGTTTGTTTGTTTGTTTTTGGTAGAGGTTTTTGCCTTAGGGCATGTGTGCTCACCAGAGAGAGAGAGAGAAAGAGAAACACTGAGAGGGAAAGTGAGGAATCACTCCTGGGGTTATGGCCACACCACATTCCCTTCTTTTCCATTCTCCTCTTGGGATCTTGGGCATGCACACACAGCGCCCAGTGTGTTTCAAGCCCCTTAGGCATAGTCCCGAACTGCTGTTGGCCATGTGAGAGTCTAATGACATAACCGCTCTGCCCTCTGCTGTCATCCTTTTGGAAGTATGCTTACCAGAGAGACAGAGACAGAAAGCAAGAAATCATCCTCTGATGGGATGGCCACGCCACAATCCCTTCTCCTCCATTCTCCTCTCAGGACCTTGGGCACGCATGCACAGATGCCCAGTGTGAGTTTAAAGCCACTGGATCTAGGATTTGAATCACAGTTGACTACGTGAAAGTCCAGTTACGTAACCAGTATGCCATCTGCTGATCCTCATTTGCAGTTTTTTTAAAAGGCAGATACATAGATCATAAATGACATACACTTGGCTTTGAACTTCATAGTGTGCAAAGTGAAAGGAGAAACATTTGTTACATAGCAAAACCTTGGGCCCTTAAATGCTTTCTGGACAGAAGGTGGGGAGGAATAAGTAATATAGCTCGCTGGATAGAAGGTGGGGAGGAATAAGTAATATAGCTCGCTGGACAGAAGGTGGGGAGGAATAAGTAATACAGCTCGCTGGACAGAAGGTGGGGAGGAATAAGTAATACAGCTCGCTGGACAGAAGGTGGGGAGGAATAAGTAATACAGCTCGCTGGACAGAAGGTGGGGAGGAATAAGTAATACAGCTCGCTGGACAGAAGGTGGGGAGGAATAAGTAATACAGCTCGCTGGACAGAAGGTGGGGAGGAATAAGTAATACAGCTCGCTGGACAGAAGGTGGGGAGGAATAAGTAATACAGCTCGCTGGACAGAAGGTGGGGAGGAATAAGTAATACAGCTCGCTGGACAGAAGGTGGGGAGGAATAAGTAATACAGCTCGCTGGACAGAAGGTGGGGAGGAATAAGTAATACAGCTCGCTGGACAGAAGGTGGGGAGGAATAAGTAATACAGCTCGCTGGACAGAAGGTGGGGAGGAATAAGTAATACAGCTCGCTGGACAGAAGGTGGGGAGGAATAAGTAATATAGCTCACTGGACAGAAGGTGGGGAGGAATAAGTAATATAGCTCACTGGATAGTTTTCAGTTCTTACTGATCAAGAACTGAAAACATACCAGTGCCTTGGAGAAAGCAAAACAGTTCATGTCACTTAGCAGTGAAAGAAATTTCATAAGTGGTTTTCTGCCTGGGGTCACTACTGATATAGGGGTCTGGTTTTCTGCCTGGGGTCACTACTGATATGGGGGTCTGGGCCTTTAAAAGTGTCCTTTCAAGGAATGCAGTCTCAGCTTTCACAGGGCTTCTTGTCCCCTTCTGTTAAGAAAGCTCGAGGTACCACATGCTGCATAGCCCCAGAGCCTGGGACGAAGCAGTGTGGGTTTACATTTGTTCCGGGGCTGCCTTGTTCCATGGCCGGATCCTGGGCTCTGGGCATGTGGCCTCCAGACAGTTCCCAGCATTTAAGGTTCTGTGAGCATGCCACAGGCAGTAAAAAGGGGCCGGAACAGGATCCTTGCAGGGAGAACCCGGCCTCCAAAGTACCTCGTCACTACCTTCTTTAATAGCCTCATTGGCTGTTAGAATAGAGGATCTTCATTGCTAAAGAAGGTTGAATTCACAACTGTCCCTTCCCTCAGCTGTGTTGGATCCAAATGTGACTGCAGGGACCAGCAGTTAGCGTAATGGCTATGTTGCTGGACTCCCACGTAGTCAACGACAGTTCGAGTCCCGGACCTGGTGGCTTAAACTCTTGCCGGGCACGTGTGCCTGGGTACCCAAGATCCTGAGAGGAGAATGGAGGAGAAGGGATTGCGGTGTGGCCATCCCCCCTGGGGGGTGATTTCTCGCTTTCTGTCTCTCTGTGTCTCTCTGTCTTTCTGGCAAGCACAGGCGCCCTATAGCAAAAACCTCTCAAAAAAAAAAAAAAATGTGACTGCAGACATTTTACGGGGAGTCTCTGTAAGGGCACGGTGTGTGTACTCTGCATTGATCCAGGGCTAGCGTCTCTTTGTTGGAGATCAGACTCGTGAATGGAACGTCACATCCTTTGGGAAGTTACGGAGGACAGTGAACACTTGGAGGAGGTGTACTGAGTGGGAAAGCCTAATTCTGGGAAGCACTTTTTACTAGGGGAAGAATACTACTTTTAGGATCAAAGTAGAATGGTCAGGATGGTTTCAAACCATAGAGTTCCTGACTTGGGGAAGTTGCAGGATTTAAAAAGCACCTTCCACCTTCACTTCCTGCCCCAGGAGAGAGAGGACTTCAGAACTTATCCCAGGCTGTATTTTCTGTCAGGCAGAAGTAATAATGATAACAGAAGGGTGAAGTTCAGTATTAACAGGAGTATATTATTTTGGGACACCCATATAATGAAAAATGTTATTTTATTGTTCGTGTTGTTAGTAGGTTTTATATTTACTGTGTAAAATGTAAACATAGTATTTGTGTTTGTGTATCTTATAAAATTCGTCAATCCCTCAGTAATTTGTTTATACATGTTCCTAAATTAGGTTGAGCTTTACAGAATTATTCTTTTGTAGGTTAAAGTAGTTCAGTATTGGCAATTTCTTTCTTTTTCTTTTAAAAGAAATTTTTGCTATAGGGTACATGTGCTCATAGAGAGACAGAGATAGGCAGAGAGACAGAAAGTGAGAAATCATCCCCTAGGGGAGGATGGCTACACTGTAGTCCCTTCTCCTCCCATCTCCTCTTGGCATCTTAGGCACGCACACACGCATGCCTGCCCAGCATGAGTTTAAGCCACCAGGTCTGGGACTCAAACCGCGTCGACTATGTGGGAGTCCAGCAACGTAACCATTACGCCATCTACTGGTCCCAATATTGGCAATTTCTTATGATTCAACCACTGTCATTTTAAAATATTATTTTGGTTGTGTTTAAAGTAAACTTGAAATCATTGGGTCCAAGGACTTTAAAGCGGCGTTTATTATTTTCATTTTTATCTTTTGAAACAGAAAAAATGCCTGTCCTAAAGGCTGAAGCATCCCATTACAATTCCGACTTAAACAGCTTGCTGTCCTGCTGCCAGTGTGTGGACGTGGTGTTCTACCATCCAGACGTGAAGGACGTGGTCGAGGCCCACAAGATCGTGCTCTGCGCCGTCAGCCACGTGTTCATGCTGCTTTTCAATGTGAAGAGTCCCAGCGACATCCAGGACGCCAGCATCATCCACACCACCCAGGACCTCTTTGCTGTAAACCGAGACGCCACGTTTCCAGGTGCTAGCCAGGAGTCCTCAGGCAACCCGCCCCTGCGCGTCATCGTGAAGGACGTCCTCTTCTGCTCCTGTTTGTCAGACATTCTGCGCTTCATTTATTCAGGTATCTTGGCCATGGTTTCGGTTGCTCACACCCTCTTAACACTTCTGAAATGAAATATGCGAGCCCTCAAGAGGACTGGGTAATGTTACATTTATCCTCATCCTAGTTTCTGAGGTGCAGCTTATACATGGAATATTTCTTTCACTTGTGGGAACTGGCCCAAGCTTCTGTCTTCCTTACAAATTTATTTGCCTTTTTTCTCCACCAGTTTTTTTTTTGTTTATTGTGGTAAAATATACCTAACATAAAATTTGCCATCTTAGCCATGTTTTAGTATAGAGTTCAGTGTATTAAATGCATACTTAATGTTGTATATTAAGAAGACACACACGAGCTCGGCATCTCATAGAACTGAAACCATTTCCTGTAAACACTGGCTCTCCATTTCCCCTTCCCCCAGACAGCCACCGTGCTGTTTTCTGTCTCTGTGATTTCGACGACCCTCAGTGCCTCCTGCACGTGGGATCACGCGGTTTTTGTCTATCTGTGACTGGTTCTTTCACTTCCTATAATGCCTCAGGGTTTCACCTAAGCCATCGCATATGTCAGGCTCCCCTTCCTGAAGCCGAGGGATGTGGCGCTGTGCATCTGCGCCCTGTGTTTATCCACGCCCTGGCTGGTGGGCACAGGGTGTTTCCGCTGTCCTGGCTGTTGTGAGCAGTGCTGTTGAGAGCGTGGATGTACAAATACTTATTTTGGAGATCCTGCTTTCAGTTCCTTGGGGTGTATTTCCAGAAGTGGAATTGCTAGATCATATGGGCATTTTATTTTTAAATTTTAGTTTTGCTTTAGGGCATGTGTGCTCTCCAGTGAGAGACAGAGGGTGGGAAAGTGAGAAATCGCACACACACACACACACACACACACCCCGGGGGGGGCATGGCCACACTGCAATCCCCTTTCCTCCGTTCTCCTCTCAGGAGGGCACACAGACTTGCATCAGCATGTGTTTGCAAGCCACTGGGCCTGGGACTTGAACCACACAGTCAGCCACGTGGGATCTAACTGCCTTAACCATCATGCCACCTGGCTGGTCCTTATTTGTAATTTTTTTGTTGGTTTTTGTTTTTATTTATGCCATAGGGCACATGAGCTCACCAAAGAGAGACAGAGAAAGGGAATGTGAAAAATTGCTCCCTGGGGGGATGGCCATACTACAGTCCCTCCTCCTCCAGTTTCCTCTTGGGCTTTAAGGCATGCACACATACGTGCCCAGGGTGCTTTTCAAAGCTGTTGGGCTGGGGACTTGAACCATGGGAATCTAGTGCCTCAACCACTACACCACCTTCTGGCCCTTAAATTTTTTTTTAAAGAAACTGCCATACTGTTTTTCATGGTGGCTGTGCTATCTTTTATTCCTGTCAACAGTGCACAAAGATTCTTTGCCAACCTTGTTACTTTGGGCTTTTTATGGGGGGTGGACTGGCAGAATAGTCACTGTCTTATTGGGTGTAGTCTTTCACTGTAGCTTGGTTTACAGTTCCTGTGATGTAGAACATCTTGGCACATGCTTATTATCCTTGTCATGAGATTTTAATCTACTTGTAAAAACCATCTCCTACTGAGTATGTAATTTTTTTAATCCAAACTATGAAATGTAGGACTTTATTGTCTATTTTAACTTTTAAAAATAAAAAATATAACTTAAAACAATTTTCCAAGGATATGTGAAATCAGGTGTCTACACCTAAAACTGAGGTAATCAGTCTTTGGTTTGATTCAGATTTTGGAGAGGATAAAGGAGAGAGATTGCTCACTAGAGGAGCTAGAATTCAATGTTTCAGCTTAATTCAGGCTGAGATCTGATTAAGTTTGATCATGGCTGTCTTAGACTTTGCCCTTCTTCCCTTACTCTGTTTTAAGATTCAGTTTATGATTTTTCTACTTATCCTTTTAAAAACTCAGTAATGGGGCAGCAGATAGTGTGGTGGTTAAGGTCCTGGATTTTCACATGGCTGACTGTGGTTCGAGTCTCAGACCTGAAGACTTGAAGATCCCTACAGGTGCGTGTGTGTGAGCACCCAAAGTCCCAAGAGGAGAATGGAAGAGAAGGGATTGTGGTATAGCCATTCCCCCAGGGAGTGATTTCTCACTTTCCCTCTTTCTCTGTATCTGGTGAGTGTAACACCCTGTAGCAAAGTAATAAACAAACTAATTAAAAAGTAGCAATTATAACCAGAAGAATAGAAATTTTATTTGATTCATTTTAGTAAATGAGTTGAAGGTCTCACATCTGTGTCCCATATAAGAAGGAGAAAGAATTGATGTGAAATTATTTTTATTTGTGTTTATTTTGAGAGGGAGAAAGACAGGTACTCCAACAGGGCCACCTTTTGCTGTGACATGGCCCGCCAGCCTTCCAGCCAGGATCATGGCTGTGCTTGTGTGTACACTTGGCGCGTTCAGGTTGCCCTGGGATCTGGAGTTGGGGCTTTCCCATGTGGCTCTGGTAACATGCAGCAGTGCCCTCCACCTGTGCCACCGTGGCTGGGTCATAAAATGCTTTTATTTATTTATTTTTTTTGGTGAGGTTATCGCTCTAGGGCGCGTGCGATTGCCAGAAAGACAGAGACAGACGGAGAGACAGAAAGCGAGAAATCACCCCCCAGGGGGAATGACCACGCTGCAATCCCTTCTCCTCCATTCTCCTCTCAGGATCTTGGGCACGCACGCACACGCGCCGGCATGAGTTTAAGCCACCAGGTCCGGGACTCAAACTACAGTCGACTACGTGGGAATCCAGTGATGTAACTATTACGCCATCTGCTGGTCACCATAAGATCATTTTTAAAGTAAGCATCTAAATATAAATTTTCTAATGACTTATTTATTTTCTTTATTAATTTATATTTTTATTGCTAGAGGGACATACATTTGTCAGAGAGAAACAGGGTTAAAGAGAGAGGGGAAGGAGAAAGTGCCCTCCAGTTGGGTATAGTCATGCCTTCTTTGCCATTTCTTTAACCTGTTGGGATTTGGGGCACACACAGAACCTGGCCAGGACCAGGATTAAAATGCATGGTTAGCCACGTGAGTTCCGGTTCCTATAACCACTAGGCCACAGGACTAGCCTGACTCTTCTTTAATTTTCTTTTGCTGCTTGGAATCATGTACTGATGAAATATGAAGTTAAGGTCACTCCCTCTCTGGAATGTGTCTGGAGAAACATTTATAATCTGTTTTTAGACTTTAAAATGGAACAGATAAGTTTATGAAGGTTTACTAATGCAGAAACAAGTATTATCTCATATAGTTAAGAGATTTTGCGGCAATGTTTATTCAAGTGGTTGACATTAAAAAATAAGAATAGTGGGACCAGCAGTTAGTGTAATGGCTATGTCGCTGGACTCCCACATAGTCTACTGCAGTTCGAGTCCCGGACCCGGTGGCTTAAACTCACGCTGGGCGCTTGTGTGTGCATGCCCAAGATCCCGAGAGGAGAATGGAGGAGAAGGGATTGCAGCATGACCGTCTCCCCTGGGGGTGATTTCTCGCTTTCTGTCTCTCTGTCTGTTTCTGCCTCTCTGGCGAATGCACGCGCCCTGTAGCAAAAATCTCTCCAGAAAAAAAAAATAAGAATAGTTTTTCCATTTGGGTTGTGGTTATATAATCTTGCATTTTAAAATTTAAGTTATAATTGGAAAAGTATAGTTAGTGTGCCAGCTTATGTGAATATTGAGTAGAATTTGGTGGAAGGTCATGAGTGCTGGTTTGGGACAGTACAGATAAGCACCCATCCAGCCCACAAGCTCCTCCAACATGGCGGAGTCCCTGTAAGTTTCAGCTGAATTAAGGAGTAAGCACTAGTAGCCGGGAATTACCATATGAATAAGGCCGCCAGTTAGGACTGCATTTAGTGTTACAGATTTTAGTGTTTAAACTGAGAGTTTCACATTTCAGATTTAAGAATAATTTTGAAAAACTAAAGTGTTTACATGTTGAAAGGAAAAAATGTTTTTTAATGACATGTAAAGAAACGCGAAGAATGTGTTAGGCTTTCTTTTTGATGATAATACGGTTGAAATTATATGAATTATTCAGCAAGTTTCCCACAGTCCTTTGAATAGTTTCAAAGCACATGAACACTTTGAAGTCAGTTGGATCTTCTTTGATGTGGTAGCAGTAAAGAGCAAGATGAATCTCGTAATGGAAACTGCCTCGCTTCCTCACAGAGGGCGATTTTTTCCTTCTACCTGCAAAATGAGTGCACGCAGCCCCAGCTGTGGTAGCGCGCTGGTCAATGGTGCTGTTCAGCAG